ATGAAAAAAAGCTGTACTTGTCATCACACCAACTGCCTCCCTTCTATCGGAGGGTCTTGTTCCTGTTACTAGTGACTCATTAGGTCATCAGTGACTTCAGAGTTGTCCCTCCTTGGTGGGTCTTGGATACTCCACTCAGCCCAGATAACACCTGTAAAGGATCTGAGGCGCCTAGATAAGAAGTAGCATTTCAGGAGAATTTGGCATTCATAGGATGATGAAATCTATGACATCATTATCCCAGTTCTCATAGTAGTAATTCACAAAGATCTTCTCTTGTATTCCCAGAACTAGCCCTTGTAGTGACCTTAAAAGTACAAGCCTTACTCTTGGTAATGTTTGAAGCAGTATTAGACATTCTGAAGCAGGATTCAAAGCTACCTTGTAATAATGAAATTGCCATACTTACATAAGGCTTTCTTTTTTTTCTTTTTCTTTTCTTTTTTTTTTTTGAGTTGGAATCTCACTCTGTCACCCAGGCTGAAGTGCAGTGGCATGCTCTCAATCACTGCAGCCTTGGCCTACTGGGCTCAGGTGATCCTTCCACTTCAGCCTGCCAAGTAGCGAAACTACAGGTGCATGTCACCACACCTGGCTAATTTTTTGTTTTATTTTAAAGACGAGGGCTCCCCATGTTGTCCAGGCTGGTCTTGAACCTGTAGGCTCAGGAAATCCTCTCACCTCAGCCTCCCTAAGTGCTGAGATTACATGTGTGAGCCACCCTGCCCGGCTAGGCTGTTTAAAAATATGTTTAATATGAATCTGCCACCAGCATGGTGGCACATGCCTGTAATCCCAGCACTTTGGGAGACCAAGGTGAGAGGACAGATGAGCCCAAGGGTTTGAGACCAGCCTGGGCAACTTAATGAGACCTCATCTCTGCAATAAATCAAAAAAATAGCCAGGCATGGTGGTGAACACCTGTGGGTCCTGCGACTTGGAAGGCTGAGGTGGAAAGATTGCCTGAGCCCAGCAGGTTGAGGCTGCAGTGGCTGTGAGCATGTCACCACACAGGCATACAGGCTGCAGGCAAAGTCTCACAGATACCGTATAATTCTGAAAGGTCACATGTGTGCATATGCAGTTCATGACGTTATAAATGCTGACACCACAATGAAAATGGCACATAACTTACGAATTATCCAAAAACACTCCAATAGCCAGAATTTCTCTTGTCTCTAATAAGGAAATACAGCCTTTCTCCTATGTGTCCACTAAATGTTAATAAATATTCCTTCCTCTTTGAAGAGTCCTTCCCATCTTGACAAGGTCTATAGTAGAAGTTAAGCTTCCTTTTAAGGTATTGGTTTCAACTCATTCGACAAATCTCCCCAAATTTTATATCCCTTGTTTTTAAAATAAGGAATCACTCCTATATTCTCTCCTTGTATTCTTTCCTTCTGATTCACCACCAATAATTATTTTAATTTTTTTTTTTTTTAGTTAGAGTCTCCTCTGTTGCTCAGGCTGGAGTGCAGTGGCACACTCACAGCCAGCACAGCCTTGACCTGCTGGGCTCAGGTGATCTTTCTGCTTCAGTCTTCCAAGTAGCTGGAACTATAGGCGTGTACCACCACGCCTGGCTAATTTTTTGGACTCACTGTAGAGTCGAAGTCTCACGGTGTTGCCCAGGCTGGTCTCAAACCCCTAGGCTAAGGCAATCCTCTCGTCTCAGCCTCCCAAAGTGCTGGAATTACAGACTTGAGCCACCGCACTCAGCCTAATTTTTTGATTTATTGTAGAGACGAGGTCTTGCCATGTTGCTCAGGTTAGTCTTGAACCCCTGAGCTGAAGCAATTCTCTCACCTCTGCCTCCCAAAGTGCTGCGATTACAGGCATGAGCCACTACACCCAGCCAGTCACCAAAACATTCTTATTGTTTTTGTCCATATGTTAAGTAGTTGGAAGGAAAAAGCTAAGTGTACAGCCCAAAACAGCCCTGATTTAAACGATGGAAAAGACCGTAAAAACAGCTTAGCGGCCGGAAAGGGGAATTCACAAGCTCAGTAGTAGACTCACAAAATATGGAAATAGAACAAAATTGAGACCACTTCTGTATCTGACTGCTATTACCTTGACATGAATCCTGGCAGGCTAGATGGCAACGCAGCTACGTTGGGACAATTGGAAGTGGCAGGTATGAATACAACCTTTCAGACTTGCCACTCCTTCTTATAGCATTCCTAGCTCATCATATCAGACATGAGCTGGGAAGAAGCCCTGGAAGCTGCAGGATGAGTTGAGGGGTCAGACATTGATGAGAGAGAGAGAGCAGACCAATTCTGTTCACAAAGGAGCGCCAAGGAAGAGTGGTCTGGGAATTAACGTTCTGTGCAGGGTGATCTTTTTCATAGCATCATCTTGTTCTGCCAGCTCAACTGAAGTCCAAGAGGTTTCCTGAGGAGGGAACCAAGACCCTTCCACCTCCCAAGTCACATTTTGCCCGGGTCCCCATTTGGCTAAGTGCCTGTGGCATACTGGAGAGACTGGAGGTCAGGGCACAAAACGGGTCCCTGAAATTTTAAATCTCACAGAATCTTTGCTGAAAGGAATGACCTAATAGTGAAGACTTACCAGTATGGCCTTTGGAGTAAGACAAACCTAATTCTGTGGCAGTTCTGCTACATTTTGGATGCTTAGACTGGGCAAGTGTCATCTTACGCTTCATATAAAAGCATATAGCAAGTACTTGAAAAATGTCATTTTATATTGCTACGTTGACTATCCATTGTTTGAGTGTTGGCAGCTGAAAACATTTCTGAATGAGAAGAGAACAAATAATCAGAGGTGTTGAGGGGTGGTGAGGACTCTAGCCATCAGTTTAACAAGACAAGAGCACAGTGGCTCTTGTCTGTAATAGCAGGACTTTGGAAGGCGGAGGCGAGAATATTGTCTGGGCTCAGGGGTTTGAGACCAGCCTGAGCAACATGGTGAGATCTAGTCTCTACAATAAATCCAAAACTCAGCCAGGCATGCTGGCACGTGCCTGTGGTTCCGCTACTTGGAAGGATGAGGTGGAAGGATCGCCTGAGCCCAGCAAGGTGGCCATGAGGATGCCACTGCACTCCAGCCTGTGAAACAGAATGAGACTCTGACCCCCCCCCCCAAAAAAAAAGACCAGGTCAACGATGGGCGTGGTGGATCAAGCCTGTAATCCCAGCACTCTGGGAGTCTGAGGTGAGGATTGCCTGAGCCCAGGGGTTTGAGACCATCCTGGGCAACTTGGTGAGACCGCATCTCTACAATAAATCAAAAAATTAGTTAGGTGTGGTGGCAGCCACCTATAGTTCCAGCTATTTGGAAGGCTGAGGTGGAAGGATCGCCTGAGGCTGCAGTGGCTGTGAGCCTGGAAATGCATTCCAGCCTGGGCGACCGAGTGAGACTCAAACTCAAACTCAAAAAAATAAAAATAAAAAAAGCCCAGGACTAGCCTTAGTGGTGGTCATTACTGAGTCTGCTCTAAACCTTCCTTTGCCAAGGTGCCACCCTCCACCCAGTCCCCACCCCAATCTCTGCAAGTCCTTACCAGGGAGAGGAGCGTACTTTTCTAATTCAAAACTTGCAATATACGGCCTGACAAGTATTTTTAAAAGTACCTTAGGGGGCAATAATACAGAATATTTCCATCTGGTTCTGAGGGATACCCAGGTATAGAGGGCAGCAAGGATGTAAAAGCACCCTGAAGCCCCTCCCTCGGCAACTCCCAAACCTCCGCTGCCCAGGTGGCTGGCATCTATCTCAGTATGATTCACCTCTCCCTATGAAGACAGCCAGTGCAGTTCCTGCCAATAGTGTGTGCGGTGGCCAGGAGATCACAGGTATTATCAACCATTGGCACCCTGGGGTAAACTAATAATCAGGGCATCTAAAAAACACCGAAGAAGGTCTTTGAGACACATGGGAAGAAACGTAATGGGCTGGAAGCTAATTTTTTTTTTTTTTAATTAGAGTCTCACTCTGTCGCCCAGGCTGGAGTGCAATGGCATGCTCATGACCACGCATCCTCAACTTGCCAGGCTCTGACGATCCTTCCGTCTCAGCCTTCCAAGTAGCTGGAACTACAGGCACGCACGACCACGCCCAGCTAATTTTTTATTTATTGTAGAGATAAGGTTTCGCCAAGTTGCCCGGGTTGGTCTCGAACCCACGGGCTCAGGCAATCCACTCGCCTCGGCCTCCCAAAGTGCTGGGATTACAGGCTGAGCCACCGATCCCGGCCTGGAAGCTATTTCGAAGCCGAAATACTACTTGAAAGTGATGCCACCTGGGTGCCTGGCGTGCAGAAATAGGGAAGAGTAAATAGAGCAAGGGGCGGGATAGTGGTGAGGGTTGTACTGATTCCTGATTTTATCTGAGGCTGGCCTTGATCCTGTGAATTCCCCTGCCTGCCCCCCAGTTTTTACTGTCTTTTGCACCTTCTAAATCAGGTCTCCTTTGGGCTGTGCCTTTAGACCGAGAAGAATCAGGGCCCCCGGGTCGGATGTCACCCAGCTTGGGGTCCAGTACTGTCAGGAACGGTGGGGTTGGGGACCAAGGGCCATTACTGCTCCTTTGGCTCGAAATCCCCGCCCAGACCCCGTCTAGGGCTTCCCCCCACTACGAGTTCATCACGTGCAAGCCCAAACTTTTCAAGCCCGGCCCGAGGCCGGCGGTCCAGGGCGCCGGGGTGGTTTTTAGGGTTTTCTTTCTTTCTTATTTCCCTTCTTCTCCACAGTTGATGATTTTCTGCAGAAAAACGGCTGCGAAAAAAGAACCGATTTCATTTCCAGTTCCCATCACCGCGATTTCCACATGGATATGACGTGGGGCCCAGCTTCCGAAATGCACAGGTGACTCACGCGGGGACACCCCGGGGCGGGGCGCAGGAGTTTCTCGGGCCCGCCGGCGAGGCGGG